GGGGGGGGGGGGAGGTTTGAAAAGAGAAATACTGCAGATATGTCTGATTGCACTAAATTTGCACTAGAAAAGTAAGTACTATGATGCTTATGCCCAGGTCATGCCAATGTAATAATACGTGCCAGTTTTCCCAACATACTGCCACCAGACAGGTTGGACTAACTTCCATCATCCACAATCAGCAGAGTCTTCCAGTTGGCAAAGCCGGTGTGGACACAGAGGAATGCAAAAGGAGAAAGGGAAAGCAGACAAGCCATGATCTAAGGTTCAAAACACACTGCAGAAATAATCCAGTCATGCAAGGGAATACTGGGAATTGTAGTTTATTGTGGCGCTGACAAAGAAGGCTCAATTTCTCAGTTCCCATTATTCCTTAGCATTGAGCCAGGGCAGACTCAAACTGGAGTATTTTTGCAGTGTGTTCTGGACCTAAGTCTATGGCTCTCAGGTTATTTGATGTGGAGACAAGCATTTTTCCCTCCCCTGCCATGTACTTATAGGAGTATAGGAATACACTCATCCCTTCCCATTCACAGACTTGGAGTCCGCAGTCTCGCTCTTTCACGGACGGCAAATGGCGAGGGACAAAATGATGCATGTGTTTAACGTGCGCGTGCAGCGCCGCACACAAATAATAATAATAATAATAATAATAATAATAATAATTTTTATTTATATCCCGCCCCACTGCAGAGCAATCGCGGCGGCTTACAACATTACAATTTAACATTACAAATACGCATGGCCATTTTAACCAATGGGCTTTGAATATTTGCAGTTTTTCCAATTCATGGGGGAATCCAGAATAGTTCCCCTGCGAATGGGGAGGGACAACTGTATACCAATATAGGACTAAATCAAAAGATTATGAGGCAAAATGCCGTCCAAATCTTATGACTAGGTTAAATAACAAATGTTCTTTTAAAGCATGTTGTTTGGGTTGAGCTTATATTAATTGAAGGATTTGTTTCTGAATGGCCTTTCTTGCACTATAAAATAAGTGATAAAAAAGAAGCAACCGACACTGGATACTGGTCTAACGACAAACAACTGCCAATAAACTGGCAAAGGCAAAATGTTTAAATTAAAGCATCCATTGTTGTTTCAGGAAGAGGGCTGTAAAAATAGCAATAGTAGTTTCTTTAAAAAAAATGGATAATAATTGTTTTTAAAAGGAGTGGGTTTTTTAAGTCATTTGTTTCAAAACAAGATTTAAACAACGGTTTAAACCAGTCAACCTGATTATATATATATATATATATATATATGTGTGTGTGTGTGTGTGTGTGTGTATACACACACATATACCAGTGTGTTGTAGTGGTTTGAACACTGGACTATGACACTGATGAGAAGGATTCGAACCCCTACATAGTCATGAAAATTTCTTCTTGGGCATCCCGTGTAGTGTGTGGATAGAGCTGCAAACATATATACTTGTTTGTGTGTATGTATATATATATGTGTGTGTGTGTGTGTGTGTTATCTCACAATCAGGAAACATGCAGGGGTAGCTGTGTTGGCCATTTAAAATTCAAAATTCATAAGAGGGGCCAGCCTGCAAAAGATACCCTCCAGTTTTACCATCTTCACTAA